TCTCTGGCTGAGTCTTAACTCCTTACTTCTTTTACTACAGATACTGGGACAATGTTGCTCCATCTTTTCCCTATTGCCTTTCCTAATCATTTTTTAGTGGAGTAAATTTTCATATCTGGTGGTCTTTGGATCTAGGACAACAGAACTTGAAGTACTGATTTAGCATATATGTTATTGCCTATCCTTTCTATGACCACTGTTAAACAACAGTGAAATCTCCTATTGTCCTTTTCCATAGTTCTTTACCCAAATTGGTCCCTTTGTTTACATTGTAGTCTAACCATATACAGTCTTTTAAAAAATTTAAAAATGACAATTCCTTGCAAAACTCCATTAATTTCCTATTTACATATGTCTGACCCTTCCCAAGCCTAACCCACTTTTTCTCTTTCTGCATTCAATTTGTCAGAACGTAGCAGTTTCCCAAAGGAGAGATGGAGGGCAGACAAAAACAATACTTGTCTACTACACTATTCCCAGACTGTTTCTAAGAGAAATTTGGTCATACATACCTAGTAGTACCTGGTTTGAAGTCTGATGGGAGAAAAAATGTTGCAATTGTCTTTAGGAATAAGAGGAATGTTACCTTTGACATGGATGTTATTTGATTAGGAGACATCCTAATCAAAGGGCTTTATCCTAAGAATCCAAGAAGATGCCTTCACCAGTTTTTCTCTCTTCTTGCCTTAAGTAGGTAAGCAACAGCAGGCTGGGTCAGCTCAGTGATTAAGTAGGTAAGCAACAGCAGGCTGGGTCAGCTCAGTGATTAAAAAAACAAACTGAAAAAAATGTTCATGATTAGCAAAAAGCATTACAGAAATAATATTCTAGTTTCTGGAGAAAGCAAAGCTAAAGAGAACCCCCTAAAAGAGCTGGTATTTAAGTCAGGGGAAATTATGGCAATGTCTAGCTGTTAACTGAAGAAAGTTTAATGAAAGGACTATTTATGAAGGTTTGGGCAGGGTTAAGGGACTCTAGGAGAAACTACAGATCATGTTCACTGAATGCATGACAAAGGTATGCCATCCAACTGGTCTTCAGTGACATCACAGTCATTAAGAGCATGCATCAACTTTGGAGTCTGATTGATAAAGGATCCAATACTAGCTTTACCACTTTCTACGGGTGTGATCTTTGGCAATTAAAAAAACTTACCTGAATTTCAGTTTTCTCACCTGTAAAATGAAGATGATAATATTTCAAAGGGTTGTTGAGACAGGTAGATGGAAAAATATAACTTAAATAGTAGCACCTGACAGTGCTCAAACACTTGAATGTTAAATTTAATTATTATTCCTGAATTTATTTTTAGTAGTGGTAATGTTGATCAAAAAGCTATTATATTTATAATCAGGTTTTGCTGTAATAAAAAATAAAAAAAGCTTAAGTAGAAATTTTTCTTTCATACAAAATCCAGATCTAGAGAGGTCAGGTTTGGTATGGCAGTTCTGCTCTAAAAAGCCCACACACCTCCTATGTCTATGTTTCATCATTCTTAGTAATTGATCCTTGTCCTCATGGTCCAAGGTAGTGGTCATTGCAACCTTTTTTACATGTGGCAGAATTAACTAAATGGAGAAGAATTGGCAAAATGAGAGCAGCAGCACTCTTAAGGAAGGTTCTTGAAAGCTTATATTCTATTGGCCAGAACATTAGTCATATGGCCATACAAGGGAAGCTAGGAAATGTAGTCTTTATTTCTAGGGGAGAAAGAGACAATAGCTACCTAAGGATAATCCATATTGTAATCCTTGTCACAGTCAGGAACTATTTCACGTTATCTTTATTATCCTCAAGTCCTCCAAAGTCACCTTGTATTCTCCCATTTTTTTTTCTGTATTTCTTCTTCTCCACTGAATTTTCTCCCTGCCTTAGCCTACATATTTTCTGTTCCACTTCTCTTTTTGGCTTTATTTTCAGTTGTTTCTTTCTTGTATGTAATGAACATTCATATTATTTTCTTTCACTTTTCTACTATTCTGCAATTACTAAAGTTTACCTTCTGTCTAAAATGTCATTTTCTACAAGTTTGTAAGTCCAAGACTTCTTATTCAAAGCCCAAATGTAAATTATTCTAAAAAGGCCCTCAGAAACTGCTCTCTCTAGAACAGTGGTTCTCAACCTTCTAGCCCTTTAAATACAGTTCCTCATGTTGTGACCCAACCATAAAATTATTTTCGTTGCTACTTCATAACTGTCATGTTGCTCCTGTTATGAATCATAATGTAAATATCTGATATGCAGGATGGTCTTAGGCAACCCCTGTGAAAGGGTTGTTCGACCACCAAAGGGGTCGCGACCCACAGGTTGAGAACCACTGCTCTAGAACTTCTCTTTTAGACTTGTATCTCAGGATGACTTATATTAGACTTCCTTATGTATATTCCTATTCTCACCAGAATATGAGTTCAAGGAGATAAAATCTGTATCTTATACAGCTTCGTATCTTCTTCTAGAAAATGGTACTTTGCACATTTAAAGTATCTGTTTAACTGAAAAATATTCTTTAAGTCCAGGATTGTTATTATAAATGTTTGAAAGTTTGATAATACCTAGATAGAAAGCTATATGCTATAGATTTGTTTCTGAAAATCTGTGAGTAGAATTTTATAATTGAATTATTGTAAAATATATTTGAGGGGCACAAAACATAATTATAAATTTTTCTATAAAGCTGACCTTACTCTTTCTCCTATTTAAATATTTTCCAGATTGGATTTTCAAATGCTTACTTTCCTTACAGTGGATACCATTATACTTGTCTCAACAAAAAATAATTATTCAAACATAGATATATAACTTCTACTGTATATAAATTATATCTCAATAAATTTGACTTTTATAAAGTTATATATTAATGTTCACACTTTTTTAGGCATACTGGTCTATACTAGTTAAATTTACTAATTAATTTTCTAAGACTACTATAAATATGAAGCTATCATCTACTTTCTATATTTCTCTGAAGGCTTATAATAATTTTAATAATCTCTGAATATGTTCTAGGGACAAAATTCTTAACTGAAATGAAACTATTTGAAAATCTTTGTACCAAAGGAACTGTGAAGATTATCCTTATATAATGAAGGAAATAAAATCTTCAATTATGCTTTTTAAAACTTAGTTTCCTAATCATTTCAAACAATTATGCTTTTCTGGAAAACTATACCAGGAAAAAAAATCCATAACAGAAGCAACTTTTCATAAGAACTTTATAGGATGATTCACATGGTATATTTTCAAAGACTGAAAAACATAAAGGAAATATAAAATGACATATTCATTATAATTGCCATAAAATCATACATGCATAGCAAAATATATGATTATTGCTCACATATTATAAGACACTCACAATACGTTTATACTACACATACAGGCAAACTTCAAAAGGGTTGGATCTTAATAACAAAATGCTTTTTGATGTAAAATGTAAAGAAATGCAAAAATTGTGAATTTTTGCCTACTTTCCAGACCTAATTTATTTTGAAAAATAAATTTTTTATTTTTAAAAAATATATTCTTATTGATTTCAGAAAGGAAGGGAGAGGAAGAGAGAGATAGAAACATCATTGACGAGAGAGAACCATTGATTGTTTGCCCTCTGCAAGCCCCACAATGGGGATCGAGCCCACAACCCCGGCATATGCCCAGACCGGAATCGAAGTGTGACCTCCTGGTTCATAGGTCCACGTTCAATCACTGAGCTGTGCCAGCTGGGCAAAACCTAATTTCTTTTAAACTTAAATAGACATATTCCAATCAGTGTAGGGCCAATATGTCTAAAAATTAGTTAATAAAAGAGAAACATGCAAATTGGTGTCACTCTGCTACGCCCACCAGCAAATCAGGATGAGCATGCAAATTAACCCAACAAAGATGGCGGTTAATTTGCATATGCAGGCACAGAGCGAAGACTGAAGACAGCTGAAGATTGAAAACGGCTGAAGACTGAAGATGGCTGAAGATTGAAGAGGCTTGGCTTCTCCGCTGCAGCCGGAGCTAAGGCCTGGGTCCCGGGTGCCGGAGTAAAACCAGTGCTGGCAGCCAGGGGAAGGAAGGCCTATTGCATGAATCTCTTCGTGCAATGGGCCTCTAGTTAGTTATAATAAAAATTGACTAATATAGACCACTATCTACAGTGTTCTCCCTCTATTGGGGACTGAGTTATAAGCAGCTAGAAGCATTCAAGTTCACATGAAAACATGATGGTGGTAATAGTTGTATTCAAATTATAATATTGTACTCTTTTCTTGTTTTCTCTATATAGCACTTTTAAAAAACTAGAAAATGATATAACCTTTCATTGGTGGGACTCTGTAATTCTTCCTTTGTAATATACCTTTAAAAATGTCTTTATTGATTTTAGAGAGAGAAGAGAGAGAGATACATTGATCTGCTACTAGAGATGGAACAGGTGACCTCTCCTCTCCGTGCATGAAAGGACGCTCAACCAACTGAGCCACACAGGCCAGGGCTAGTTAAATTTATTTTGATCCCGGAAAAGAGCACATTCAACACCTTTCAGTTTTCTTGCCTGGCTGCCCTGAAGCCTCATGAAGTCTGGCTTTTCCAGATCTGTTCTCACTGAGCTCCAGATACTTGCTTCCTCTAAATTAAAATCTCAACCAGCAGGTTGGAAAGTAACCAGATAAATTAAACCCCCAATGTGTCATTGACTTATAATAGCTCAACAGGTGATCTCTCTAGTGTGTATTTTTTTTTTTTAAAGAAATCTTCAGGCATAAAGCCTTCATACAGGGTGATGAAGTTCTAGAACCTCAAACACGAGCACAAGGTCAGGTATGACTGACTTTCTGGTGGATGTAGGAATCTTTCAATGCTCTTTCAATCGAGTCTATTCAGTCCATTACCTTTCTCTCTTTGGGCTGGTAAAACGAAGATTTCCACAGGAAAAGTACATACACTAGCTTTTAAGATGTTTTAAAAACTCTTCGTCACAATTTCCTTTTCATAGAGTGTTTTGATCAATGCAATGATAGCTTATTTACTCTCAGAATGTCTTTTATTGAAGGTGGAAAAACATTCTGTCACTCACTTAAAATCCATGAAAATAATAGAAAAGGTTAGCACATCGAAGGAAATGAACGCCCATAACATCAACGCTTGAATCCTCTTGGCTGGAATTCTTAACTCCAGTCGATTTACCCAAATCCATGGTTTGTTAAACACCTTTGGACCCCGTCTGATCCATGTGAGCAGAGGGAACAGCCTGTGGAGCGTGGCTGGGAAGAAACAGGGGGAAAGAACCGTGAGATGAAAAAGTAGTAGAATGTTTCCAAGAAGGGGTGGGGTTTAGGGTGGAGGCCAGAAAAGAAAAAAAAAAAATGGGATTGCCCCTCCGTTCATTGAACGAACATTTATTTTTGCCTCCCGCACGCCTGGCCTCCCGGTGGCGACCTCTCCGGACGCGTGCTTTTCGGGGACAAACGCTGGGCTCGGGTTATCTCGGGACCGGGAGCCGCCCGGCTTCCGACCTCCGGCCTCCAGCCGCCCGGAGGGGGGAGTCAGGGCGGGATGGGGCCGGCGGAGCCCGCCGCCCCGGGCAAAGCATCTGCCGCGTTCAGCCGAGCGTCTGTCA